ATCACGTTAAGCTCGCCTAATTACGAAAATATAGCGTCTCTCTGAACCAATGAGTGTGTCTGGGAACGGATAATCAACAAGTACAACAACAGAATCAAAGCCAGGAGGATCGAAGTTCTACTATTCCTGTTGAAGATTTCTGAGGGTTTTGAAGCATGAAAGATGCGATTTATTGTCAGAAAGTGCTCAAAGTGGAGTCAAGCGCTAGCTTTCTTCGTAAAGAATTTGAGCGGATATCCGCCGTTCGATTTGCATTTTTTCGTCAAACGGGGAAAGCTTCCTGGAGTTGACATCGATGCGTCGGTCATTTCCGGTCCGGTAATTCTGTTCAAATCGTCGCTGCCCCAAGCTTTATTCCCTTAGCACCGATGTACCTCCGCCGTGTAATCCGATAACTTCGAATCAGTTCGATGCCAACATCGACTGTTTCCACCCTGTAAATGCAGTCATCCCAAGGCTTCTCCACGCGAGTGAGATTTTTTCTCCAACTCAACGTTAAGTGCTTTCATAAAGACAATTACTATGCATTTTTACATATTCGTGAGTCAAGACCACTGCGAGAAGTGAGCCATGCGACCGTCGGTTCGAGTTTTGATACTCAGTGTTCAGGTCAAGACCGCTGCTTCTCGGTTAACCCGATTTCCGGGTTGATGGGAAATTTTTTCTGACTGCGTACGATGGTGAATGTAATTCAGATCGTTGGAAAGGATAACCTGCAGTACCGTGATGCAGAAAATCGAGGATAGTCTCGTACTTTCACTCTTGCTGAGGCTTCTGAAAAATTTGTTCGAAGCTTGCTCAAGCTACCTCTTGGGGAAAATATTTTCAATTATCCTACGGTAGATTTTCGAACTCAGTGGTTTTCTCATTCTTCGCCCCAACTTTTTCCGGAAGAAGGGAAATGCAGTAAAGTACTGGGAATCATAAGAGAAATCTTCCAGATTTGCACGGTTCGATACATCCGAGTTGTTAATGAAGCGCGTATTCAAAAGTTCAGTGCACGTAGGCTTTGTTCATTACGTTTCTAAATCTGGTGAACATGTGTCTGAATCGGGATTTTCCCTCTTGTTCAAGTCTGCTCTCTCGTTAGGTAGTGCACGAGAAGTGACTTCCACCAGAGAATGTGAATTTCTTGAGTTCATCGCTGTGTAAAGATCGGCGCGGAACTCGACGATTTCGTGCCGTAGAAGCCACGTTTAAAGAAAAAAAAAGAGAAAAAAACTTGATGGTTGGGAGCAGCGTAGCAACGAAAAAGGGGATTTTTGGCATCAGAGGAGGCCCTGCTTTCCGGACACTTGCTCCTCTTCCGCTCGATTCATATAAGCTTTTCAGTAAGCAGTTTTTTTTTCTGGATTCCGAAACTTTTTGCTGGCTTATTTTTCTCGCTGCTGGATTTGAAGGGTCTTTCGGACCTCTGCGACGAGAAACGACGTTTCATTCCTGAGGTTGCTTTCGTATGATTTCTTCTCTTTCATTCAAGACTCCTTTCTGGAATACTGTACTCATAAAATTGTTGATGGTGTGGTCGACTGCCGATTTATGTTGGTGCTTCGGATCAGTTGCTGCTGTTCTTCATTTTTTCTCCTTTTTTGCATACGCTTGCGTGGCACGTTCAATTCGTCACGACTCATTCCGAGGAACTCGCGCTGATTGAATTCTTTTAGCATGCGTGGAATATTCGTTGTGACCGGAATATTCGGCAAATTTGTCTAGTAAATTCGACATTATCAAGAAATGAATATACGAAAATGGTAGGATTTAATAGAACATGAGGCATAATTGAGGTTATTTGAAATCCAGCTACTCGTCCGCTGGAGAAAATCACGACACTTCGTAAAGTTTTGGAGCAGGCCAGATTTGTTTCTTCGATCCGTCGGTTTTCTCTCTCTCTAATTCCCTTACTGTATACGAAAGGCTGGAAAATAATGTTTTAATCGAAGGATGAATGCGATGACTATCGGCGGGAATTGAAATAAATCTTCGTACGGAGTACAGTATATCATTGTTGGACCGAATTACGTTGTAGAGTGTACACGAGTGGTTCAGGAATTCTTCGGTCACTTTTGTTCCCGGAAATACGCTTCCAGGCTATTTCCATGGCTTGACACTTTTCAAGAATCTTTGTTTCAAATGCGAGTCAATTTTGGCCATTTGTTCTATCTTGGTCCTCATTGTTAGTCAACGTATTATTTTCAAATTTCAAGCTATCGGCTAAAATGTAATCTCAAACTGAGGAAACGCCTCTGACGCATCGCACGTGTTTGGGATTAATAATATCCCGGAGAAGTGTGCATTGGCGGTCTTCCGTGACCCTGGGGTTTGGACAAATGGGAACCTGTGGAAGCGAGTACGTCTCGATGACCGATAAAGCTTCCGAAAGGATTCTATATTGGGCCAAGTCACGGAATTTCCAGCGGATCGCGAGGGGCTGCCGTGGTGTATCGCTTATTGTACTTCCAGTGGGAAATCCATTGTTGTATAATTTTATATTAGCCACGCTTTGAAAGCTGTGTAGAATATCTATTTGGATATTCTATTTGGATGCCGAGAAACTCCTGTTAGCTGAGTGATGCAAAGAATTCCCCGCATTAATTATCAAATATAAATGAAATTATTGAATGATAAGATTTTAAGTGAAAAATATCGTAACTGCGAAAAAACGACAGGTTAACGAAGCAAATCAAAAGTCTCCTTACAATACTTTACGTCGAAGTTTATACTGTGAGTAGTAGTTCTCACAGCATCGTGGGGTTTTTGAAACTGAGCAATGCCGTCATTGCTGTCAATTATCCGAAGCAGGTTCCTTCATCTTAGAGTTCATTGTGAGTCATACAAAAATGAGTGGGGTGGCACCGGTGTTCGGAACTGATAGCTGTTCTGCCAGCGAAGAGAGATGAGTGTTCTTGTTGAGACCGTAAGAGCGACATCTCGTCGTACAGGTGCTAAAAACTATTTTGTGCTTCAGCAAACGACCTCACGTATCTGCTCTCCAGCAGAGGAACAGGCGACGAGGAAGCCGTAGTAGTGAGTGAGGCCGAAGCTCGACATTGATTTCAGATCCCGGAAAACCACGTGAAGATGTTCTCACGGTACTTCAAGCGTCGTCGACTCGCGTTAGTGCCTTCCTTCTCGGTTGTTTTCGCTTTTTCGTTTGAATTTCGCTGTATGTCTCGAAATAGTTTCCATCACTGACGCGCGGTCCGGCGTGCACTCGGCTTCTTTCCCGGCACACAAGTGGAGCACGGGGTGATATCCCGCTATTTTTTTTCCCCCTGCGTGATAGATTGTCTGCTTGGGGAAAATAACATAGCTTCGTTTTTCTTTCCGCATTTTTCCTCATTTGCAGTTTTCTATTCCTGCATATCCAGCGCACCGTCGGACTGTGTGTGTGACTTGTTTTTCATCGCCGCGTGTCCTCGGTCGCGCGTGTTTTATTTGAATCCTGTACACGTGTGGATTTCCAGCATTATGGTCAACTAATCAGTTTCGTGATCATTCGCGCCGGCGCGTCGTACATGCTTTGGGTGGGGCTGACATGAGCACGATGCTCAAAATTTCGATAGATGTCAGTTTTATTCGTCAGGTATAGAAGTATGTACGAGGTGTGCTAGGCGTTAGATCTGAGTGACTGTCACTCTGTTCTGGAGGAAATACTTCCGAAGTTATCTGCGTGTGTTTCTGAATTTATTCGCGTTTGCTCTTGTTGCCCGAAATTGCCTCTGAGATGATTCAGTTATTTTCGTGGCAAGCTGCTGAATCACGGACAAAATACCTGTTATAAAATGAATTCAGAGACGAAGAAAACCGTTTTTATCTACCGTATATAGCTTTTCCTTCCGTTGGGCTGTTAGTTCCAATCCAGTTCTTTCATACGGGCTGTGCTGAAAAGTTCGATGAATATCAGACATTAAGTCAGGTCTTCATCGTCTCGTCATTATACTGTATTTTGAAGTGATTTACGACTTTGTGTGTGTGTGTGTGCATTCTGCATTCTTCTGTTTTTCATGTAGTAAGTCAACACGATCATGATCAACGTTTTCTTTTCCATTCAAACTTGTGACTAACCTACCGATGTCTGCTATGAAACAACCTCACAGATCCCTAAAAATTGATCTTTATTTATGAAATCGTTCTCTGTTGGTGTTATCAATCCTAATATTTCTCTGCCAAAATTTCCTTCACAGCGAATTATGATCTGTCTCGGAAATTCGCATCTGATCGTGAAGAATCAAGCGATTTAATGTTGGACCGCGAGGTCACATTTCGTTGCATTTTAACGATTGAAGAATATTTGGAGGTTTACTGTAACTTCGATTCATTTAGAGGGTGATACTAATAGTGTATTTTAAATATCGTTGAACAGAAAATGAATGCTACAGAAAATGAAATTCTCAGAAGCACGGTATGTGCACTAACGCATTTGCTCGATACTTGATGATCGAAATATTTTCGATAAATCAAGTATAGAGAATTCACTTTTTTGTCTTTCATGTGTGTCGTGATAAATCTCCTTCGGATTAAGAAGTATGTTACAATGTTATTGACATATTTTCTTCATCTCATAGTTTTTCGTTTGTGGTCACTTGGAATTCAGCCTTGTACATCTTCGTTGGAGGGAACTACTGTATCTACTAGATTTATTCAACAGAAACTTCTTTTTTCGCATGTTTAGTTTTCCTAGTCGGGTCTTTTTTTAATCTCTTGCTTTTCAGACCTCCAGTTCTGGTGTTGGCAGTTTAATCGGCAATTCTGAGCTTGTCGTTTAAAACAATTGGTCTGACTGGGATCTAAATTTTTCTTGCATTCTTTCTCGTGTGGTGGTATGGAAGTGCGTGATGGATCTCTCTAATTTCATGCACGTTTCATACACTCGATGGTGTCGGCCTTTTTGTACAGAAGTTTAGTGTATCTTTTCGGGGGTTTCTGTCCGAGTTCGCTCGGCAGAAACCAATAAGAGGGCTTTCGAGCGGAAGGATGATGAAATTTGTCGTAAATCGTAGGACGAAAACTGAAGACAAGGACGAGAAGACGACGAAGGCAGAGGCGAAGCCGAAACCGGATCCCGTTGAAATAACGCACCCAAGCATGATCGGCCTGATGGAGATGGACGGGCCGCACCGTGAGATGGCCGTGGACGTTCCGGAAGGGTTCATGGCCCGCACGAAAACCCCTCCGCGGTACCCGCCGCCCAAGTCCGCCTTAACGACGGGCAAGAAGAACGGCGGCGTGGGCAAGCCGCCTCCTCCGCCGCGCGAAGTTGCGTCGGCGTCTAAAGCCCAGAAGCCGACGCAACGAGCGTCGCTCAACTCCCGAACCGCCCCAAGTTCGAGCCCGTTGACGGGCGCCGGATCCATGAACCGACACCGAGCCGCTGGAGGATCTGCGTCTGGACCCGGGCCGCTGGCCAGAAACCGCAGTGCTGACCAGGTTGACGCATGTATCACTTCCCCGGCCCCGAACATCGACCAAATCGAGCGGATAAAGAAGTACCAGGTTCGTGCTTTTTTTTTTCCCTCGTCATTCTTTTTATTCGGAAACGGCGTGGCGAATCTTTTCTCAGATCTCGACGCGTTCAGAATTTCGCGCGCCCTTGCGTGAACAACTTCATCTTTTCTTACTTTTCTCATATCTTTCTCGCACTTTTTTCGCCCGTTATAACTCGCGTTTCGAAATGCGCCGGCGATGCCTTGTGAAACTAGCTAAATTCGAAGGGTGCATGTGCGGATTGAGCGTGAACCGATTTGCCAGCAATGGTAGTTTTTTCGGTAGAAAAAAAATTTTCAAGCTGAATTTGAGCATAGGTGAGCGGTCGTCAATTTCCTTTGATGTGCGCTTGCTTCCTCAAATTATGCTTACTAAGATTGAACGTAAAAAAGGGGACAAAAATAAAATTAAGTCGGGAGAAAGTTTATTCCCGCTGCATATCCGAGTTCTGCGAAGTCGCATGTACAACATGTCCAAATAAATTTTCTGACTTCACGAGTTTTCAGATGAGATTTGCTCTTCTATCTTTACATTTTATGTGCATTAGTTAATTGCAACGACCCATTTAAATCCGTGCACATTTGCAATTGATGAATGTTCATTTTTAAAATCTTGTGTATCCTTCGAACTTATACATTTTTAACACACTATCCTGGATCCAATTGGACCTTCGAAAGATTTCTAGAACTCCATGATCATTTATCCGTTCAGTTCAAATGAAAATGATACGAGATTATTCAGAGAATCCTGCAAATCCATTCGTCCTTAATTTATTTATGAATTATTCCTCCATTTGGAGCTTAAAATCGTGTACAGTAATTAAAGGTAGGATTATGCACTTGTGCAGTGCCTTGGTACCGGCCGCAGCAACAGATGGACCTGTCCATAAATGACATTTTTTCAGAACAGCTCATTTCAAGTAAGACCTTAGACGATAAACAATGTAAGGATGCAAAATCTACCAGTACGAAATACCGCGCGGAGTATTAAGGTACAGCCCAAATTATATTGAACATTTTACTCTTATATATACGGTACCGCGTGCACCATAATTGTGACTAAAACTTGAAATAATCTTCTGACATGGAATGCACAGATGAAGCGACGAAGGCCGTTTTTGGTACACGTTTTTTGTAAGTTCTGTTATGGGAATCACTTAATTGCCTGCTCACGTGTTGCTCAATCAACCCACCTCTTCATGCTCCAAAAATCACGCAGTTCTTCACTTCAGTTGTACTTGGAACGAAAAGCGGGCTGATACATTTTGGAGCTTAGCTATGTAGGTAGACACAGCAAATAAGCTCGAGGGACGAGAAAAAATTTCGTTGCCGAGAGAATTTCGTCGTAGAGAACTCATATAGCATGGGTAGAGAACCCCGTGGGACCATAACAACAACAAATTCGTTATGCAGAGAAGATCGTTGTAGACAAGGTCATTGTACAGAGACTCCACCGTTATCAAGTTTTATTTTTATTTTAGTGTGCTTATTGACTATCTGGTTACCCTTGTAGGAGTTGTAGGACAATAAAAAATTAAAACTTTCAGAAAGTTGATACAAATATGAATTTCTGATGCTCGTGTCAAGTTTGTTGCGCCGATCAGAAGAAGCCGCATTGATTTCGCTGGGAACTTCGCTCCTACTCATACTTCTCTATTTATTCTCATTCATCGTGGTATCGTTAAACTTGGAATTAACTGAATAACTGTTCATCTGCCTCACCTCCTCTGGTTTCAAACATATGAACCATCTCTCAAAGTACCAGTCCTGAGAAGGTTCATGAATAGTGCGAATTAAACGCCTCTGGGAAGCTCTGGCTGTACATGTTCAAATGGAAGTACAGTACTGCAGTTTAGAATTTTAATTGCACCAAGATTAGGGAATCGATTCGATATTTTTTTTACTTGATCGGGCGCATTTTTGCATCAAAACAGATTGTGCACCGCCGGAAGATTATTACACATTGACCGATCATTTATTTTACACTGTACTTCCCATCGGCGGAAGAAAATGAGGATTTTGTTCTCCCGCAATATGTTTTTCATGCTCATTTGTATAGCAGCGGTCGTCTGCTGTTATTATTTTTTTCTTTGGATTGGGAGTTGAATTCCTGTAGATTCGCAATGGGTTTTAAAGGACTTGGAATTTAGGACGGACAGTTGGTTCGGTGCGACGGTGAAAAGGTGATGAATATTTTATGTTCTGCTGTGAAGCAGACGAAGACAAAAGCGCTGATTTGCATCCGGTTATCGATGGATGAAATGTTCCTGATGAACGTCCTTGTGGGGATTCACATGTTAGCAGAGATTTTCAGCAGTCTCTTGTCTGCAGCTCTGGTAATCATGATTCTAAATCACGCCGAGTGCTTGTAATACTGTAATCGTTTCTTTATTTTGTGCTGTACGTCACTGTTCTCCGATATAGAAGACTGGAGCATGCATGATTAATCTGCGACCCCGTTTGTCTTCGTGCAGTAAGGCACTCGCTGGGAGAAATCTTCGAAGCGTCTTTTTGTTTTCGCGTAGTTACGCCTAGATGTCGGTACTTCCTAGCCGTGAGTCCCAGAAACCCTGGGGAGGAATTTTTTTTTTTTCTGTCGTAGACAATTTCCAGCGAAACGCCTCCGTTTTAAGCTATTTTGTAACAACAAAAATAAATAATTGTTCAGTACTAGAAAATTTGCATTCTGATGGAGACTCGAAGATGAGTGGATTGAATAATTTTTGTCCGCGTGGGTTCACGTTCGACATTTTTCCTTCGCGGCGTAAGAAATTTGAAGTATTGTTCAGCATTGAAGGTGTTCGCGAGACGGGTGATTTGAACAATGTTCCATTCATGATTTTTCATGCTGATCAAATTAGCAATCACGGAAGGTTGATGTTTGCTAGTCTGCACGTTTTTTCTTTTCATTTCGTGCGTCGAAAAAGTGCGGAGTGACTCTTACGGCGGCCTCAATTAGGCGTGATAAAATGTTATATACTGTATGTGCTATGAGTTCTTGTAATTCTATCCTGGAGGTCGCTTCGGAGATGAATAAGTCGTAGTGACAAGCTAGAGCCTAATTTTATCTGCCATGCTTTTCACTCTCCAATTTTTCTGGGTTCTCTCTATCAATTCTCGAGGGAATCTGAAGTAGGGGTCGAGAATGTATGAAGGGCTGGTCTGGAAAGGGCAATCGTTTCGCAGCCTGTGATGAATACTGTACTTCATGACCTCGAGCTACTCCTTTCTCGAAGGCGCGATATATTTCCTGGAATATCTCTGATGTTGAAATCGTATGAAAACACTCGGGTGCTTTCTGATTTTCAAGCGACATAATTAGCTACCGGGTAATTCTGGATTCTCGCGATACTTCACCCGATAGAACAGGGATGTTTCCGGGAGTAATGTGCGTAAAATGATGAAATTTGTGTCGGAGGAAGATGTGGGAAATGGGGAAGGGAATACAATTTTTGGAACCATCTGGAGTTCCAGACAAGCGCAAATAATCTATGCCTGGAGGAGGAAAAGGAGAACATGTGGCTCGTCGAGGCTTGAGACCCGCCACTGGAGCCTAGGAAATTAATGAAATAAATACATCCTCACAATGACGAACGTTGTTCATTGAAATGACGATGTTCAAAGGGGAGATTGTGATTTAATTTTAGAAATATTTTTCGTTCCTCCGGTTTATTTTCATTAGTTGATGAATGCGCCGTTTCTCTTCCTCTCCAGTTTAACTGAAGATTGTTCTAGAGATGATGAAGGATCTCCCCACATTCTAGGCGCCGCCTCTTCTTCCTCTTGCTCAAGAGTCATTGCATATTCGTAACTCATCGAAAAATTCACATTTGTGTGGGTCTTGTCCCGTGGAAACCCGTGTGTGACTTGCAGCGTGAATTTTGACCGAGTCTTATTGACCGTGTGGCCGAAATCTTTTTGCAGTTTGGCTGCCTGTTTGATGCAAGTACGTTGACGTCCAAATTGTGGCATGCCTCGATGTGAACGCACAACAAAATCTCGAATGGGTTCCGATTACCTGGTTTCAATGCAATGCACACTTTGGCACCGGTGATGGATTGTTCGGACAAAGCTCAGCTTTTCCTACCGTTCACGAATTAGCCGGCAGAGGCTCATTATTAAAATAATGTATCGCTTGTTGGACGTCTGCATTATAGGGCGCAAAAGTTCAGAGGAAACCCATTCGTCTTAGCTTTTGATGCGTGTGTCATCACCATTTTCGCTTGGATTGTTCATCATGCGAACGCAGTCCTTCATTCAGATCAAAGGTGATGGCTTTTACAGATGAATTGAAACTTCGGATGAGACCATCATGGCTCTTTATCTTCTAGCGAAAAAAAATTTCATCTTAAGTTGAGCTGTGTTGAAATATTGAAGTTTCGACGTTTTGATTGCGCGAATTCGTAGAAGCGTGTAGATAAAATGGAGGAACCTCTGTTGTATGAAGGTCGATTGTCTTCGGTATTTTAGACGAGAAGGTTTCTTTTTTGTGGAAATTTGGAGAAAAATTTCTCGCTGTCCGCGAAGGCTTTCATTCAAAAACTCTTGCGAGACTGTCGTGAATAACATACAAACTTTCGAAAAAGTCTTCGTTTTCTTCTGTCTGAAGTGCGAGACTTTCGAGTATTCGAAGGTACTTTGCGAAAAAGTTGAGATCATTGATCGCAGGTGTAACTAGGTCGTCAGTCATCGACAGCACACGACCTCGCAGGTGCCAGCAGTGATCAGGGAAGTGTGAAGTTACTCGGAACTGATACTGTGTCGAGCCTGAGCTGCACAGGCACGAGTGCGATTTTGTCAGATTTTCACTTGTAGGTTTTTCTATTCATGAGCTACTTTTTCAAGCGTTCCTTGAAATATTTATTGTGATTCGTACCGCGTGCCTCCGTCTAGTGGATTTATACGAGAAAGAATTCGAAATGGGGGAAACGAGTGATCCGGCTGCAGCGAAGATTCTCATCAATATATCTTATTTAAAAACTTCATAAATTCTGTTTTTTTTTTAATTAT